TAGTTTTTATCAGATTTCTCATCTCTTTTTCTAATATTAATGATTATAGCTCAGATGTTCTCTGTTTAGCTTACAGAGTCTCTTAACTTATTCTCTAGATAGATCTTGAGAACAGATCAGTGAAATCTCTTATAATCATTCTCTAGATAATTCAGCCAGTTCTTGACTTCAGTGTAGTAGAGATCTGTTATTATATAGGTAACAGCTTCTTCATCTTTTATGTCATATAGCTGAGCTTGTGAGTCAATTTCAAATGCAAACTTGTAAAAGCTTTTATAGATTGTGATTCAGTAAGTGACCTTAAGTGATCACAGCTTAAGAAAGTTTCTTTTCAGTTTACAGATAGACAGACCGTGTGACCGTGTCTGAGACCAGAATCAGATTTTTTGATAGTCTCATTATCAATTTAACTGATCTCATTACACGGTTTTAACATTAGATAGTAGTCTCATACTGTCTCAGTGAGACTTACTGTCTACTCTTATCACATTTTTCAAATGAAATCATGATTTCCACTTCTCAATTTAAATTATTTTTATTGCTTTAAATGACTTTGAATCTCATTTGAGTGTTATCAAAAAGCGTTACTTTTTAAAAAAGTAAAAATAGTCTAAAAAAGACCTTAAAATGTCTAAAAATAGTAACTTTATGCCAAGAATAGAACTAAATGGAATCAAATGAGACTACTTTCTTATTTTTTTCAAGTCATGGTTTCATTTTAAGATCTGATATATAGTCACTTTGCATGTTTTTTCAATGACTAGTCCCAGTGGGATTCACGCCAAGAAATGTATGAGACCAGATCAAATGAAACCAAACGTGAAATTCATGATCTCAGCGGCCAGTCTATTTACAGATGTCTCTGAAGATCATGTCTAGAGACTCAGTTCAAGAGTGTTTACAGATAGTAAGTATTTCTTGTAGAAAAATAGCTTGATCTTATAAGAGATACTCAAGAATGTTCTTCACTGAGATTAGTTTGTTCATGAGTTCAGAGAGTTTCTCTATCACAGATATAGAGAATGATATCTTATAAGTGATTAATAAGTTCTCTGAGACTTCTTTCACAGAGATTATTCATGATTCAGATGACTGCTTCTGAGTCTCTGCAGTAGAGTTCACAGAGATTGAAGCATATGAGTTTCTAGTTCTTTCAGTTATAATGAGTGATTGCTGACTGACTGAGCTTGAAATGTAAGAATAAATACTTATAGATGATTATTCAGGTGTTTGCAGCTTGACATGATATATACTATTAACTACTAGAAGTATTCACAGTAGAAAGATAAAATGTAGAAATCAAATGTATAATAGTATTCAAGCTGAGTTATGAATAGTATTTGTGAACTTCAGTCTATATAGTTGTGTGTAGCCAAGGGCTGCTAACTCTATTGATTACGTGAGAGATAGTAATAGGGGTAAAGAATCCGCGAGGGGCGGGATTTCTTACAAGTTTAAACCAGATTCTTTCTTCTTCAACTTCTGAATTGAAGCTATAGTAGAGATGTTTCTCTTCTATAACTTATCAATGAATTTCAAAAGTAGTTAAGTTAAGAGATTATAGACTGTTTTATTCTTCATCAATTCAATAATAGTAAGATATAATATGAGAAGCTTATAATCTTCAGTGTCAGTTCTCTGCAGAGATTAGACTGACTGCCGGGATCATGAATTTCATATTTGATCTCATTTGGTCTGGTCTCATACATTTCTTGGCGTGAGTTCCACCAGGACCAAGCCTTAAAAAAATCTGAAAATGAATCATTTCTGAGAGAAATGATATGAAAAATGATCAGATTTAATTCAAAAACAGTGAAATAAGAGTAATTTCTCAGAATAAACTGTGAAAGATGATCAATCTTTCAAAATCAGAATGAGACTAGAGACTGAAGATCAAATTCAGTCTCATTCAGTTCATTCAGTGATTGCTTATATAATCAGAATTTGATAATGATTATTGATAACACTCATGAAACAACTAAATACATTCTTATGTAAGTTTATTCTTCACTTTCTCATGAAAACTACACTTCTCTGATATACTGTAATCAGAGATATTAAACTGTCTGATAATTTTATATTTTATAATTATAAGTTTCTTAATTGTTTCTTCTTATAATTGTTCTCAGTGATAGTGATAAATATCTTAGCTTGAGTTGAACTTTCACTTCATTCTCACCTCTGTTAATGAAATTGTCAGAATATTATATATCATCAGTACAACAGTTCAATATATACTCTTAATAATTTTTCATAACTCTAGAATTGATTTGATATGTAAATTTGTTAAATTATCTTGAAAATAGCAGTTAAATTCAGTTTTACAAGTATATAGTTTTATCTGATTTTCAGTTATAATTAATATATACAAGTTTTGTTTCAAAGTTAGTATTATAGTTCTATATAATATAAAGTATTATCAAAGATCATTACTTACTAGAGAATTGTATTTTACTGTCTTCACATCTTTAACATCTGCTTGTTCAAATCTCTGATAGTTGATATTGTAGTAGTTTCAGACTAATTTAATATATGAGTCTCATTTCTTCTCTATTCAATCTTGAGAAGTGTAAATATTAACTTGATAGAAGACATCTAGTAGAGCTGCTACAGTATAGTACTCTGTAAAAGATTGTTCAGTTTTGCTGTAATAATATGCCAGTTTATCTCTTACAGTAATAATAGCCTACACTATAGTATTATCTCAGACTGAATTTCTTTTTAAGTGATTCAACTGCTTCTTAAGATGAGTAAATAAACTGTTATACATTTATCAGACTGACTGCAGTATTAATATACAAGTAATTGAGACTGTCTTTATTATCTTATAAAACTGAAACAGTAAATCAATCACATATTTCAACTGAGTTCACTTTATATCAGAAAGTTTCAATATCTGAATCTTTTCTCAATCAGAGTGTTGCACTCAATGATCAATTATCTAATATAATTGAAGAGTCTGAACAGTTATCTTATATATTAAACTTTATTATATTCTAATATTCTGTATCATATTCAGTGTTGTGACTGATTTGTTTATTTATTAAATATCATGAAATTGTTATTATTATTTAGAGAAGATACAAATTACATTAGTAATATTTCAAATCTGTGATATTTAAATTATTAGTCAATCTATTCAAAATTAATAGTAGTATTATTAAAAAGCATTATCAAAAAGCAATATTAAAAAGTATTATTAAAAAATATTATCTTTTACAAAGTGAATGCAAAAGTTACTTGAGTAATCACTTTCATCTCATTCTCATCTCAAGAATCAGTCATCTTATTATTCTTTATCTCAATATTAAGATTCTTTGTCAGTGTTTACATTATAAGTTGAATCACATGAGCAATGCAGAGAATATGATCTTGTTTATTATTTCAGAAATGCAAAGTCAATTTTTACTTCAAGCTCTTTATTATAGTGTAGTTATTCACAGCATTATCAGTTGTAATTGTAAGAAGACTGAGAGTAATATCTTAATAGTCATTTTTAATCACTGTTATTAATATATCTGTTATATAATTCTTAGTATGACTACTGATCAAAGATTCAAATTCAATTAATATCTCTTGATAAGTTCAGTTCTCATCAATATAATAATATATAACTCTTATAAATGCAAGATTGTTTATACTAGTTCATGCATTTACTGTAAGAGACACTCTTCAATGATTCTTCAACTCTGATTCTAGATATTATATATTAGCTTTGTAGTATATCTCAAGATTGAACTGAAGACATGATCAATATGAAATATGAAGATTTGAATTAAGTATTTGAAGAAGTATTCAGAATTCGGGATTTTCAATTGATTAAAGAGAAAGATTCAGAGATATACACATGTAAAGTAATTGTTTATAGAAGTTATTAGATGAGAGTTATAAAATCAGAGTACTGATACATGATTGTTTTCATACAAGTTTCTTCAAATTAGAAAGTTAGTGTTATTAAAAATTATTATCTGATAGAGTAAGTTATCAGCTCAGTAGTAATTTTCTAATTATTTTTCTTTTATTATCTGCATTCTGATAACTTCAGATATTGAGAAATTTCATCAGAGTCATGATCAGTTCATGATGAATGTTTCTAAATAAAGTTACAGTGATTATAGTAAAGAGATAACTCTTCAGTAATCTATAATACAATTTATTAATAATTATTTCATAGTTCATCTCAATGTTTGTATTAAGTTTTTTATAAATTTCATGATCTGAAATCAGATGTGAAGAATAAAGTGATCATTCATTATAATTAAAAGAGAGTATTCTGTATTAAATTATAAATAACATAGACTTTCTATTTTACAGTGATTTCTTGAAGAGTTTATGAATCTTTAATAGAAGTTAAAGAAGTGAAAGAAGTGAATTCAGAAGATATAATGAAGATTTAAGAAAGATAATAATTTATTTTTAATAAAGATAATAACTGATCACTGATATATATAAGAAGAATTATTATAAGAGAAAATAATCTTCTTTCTTAGCTTAGTTATAATTTTAGTACTAACTCAGATTGAATATCATCAATGTATAAAAGTAAATAAATAATCTTGATTAATCTCTGTTATATTTTTTAAAATATATTAATATTGTGAAAGAGAGTATTATCAAATTACATTATCAGATAATATTATTAAAAATATATTAATATTATAAATATTAATATTGAAAAAATGTTGATACTTATACATTATAGTGATTTATAAATCATGATAGTTAAATATATATATATATATTATTCCTGGCATTGATTACAACTTGTACAATAATTTTTGAAAACTCAAAATTAATTTTAATTATTAATAATTATGAACTTATAACTAACTAATATAAAAAGAAAAAAACTTTTTCTATTTATTATCTTTCTTCTCTTTTTCATTCTTCTTATTATTCTTCACAATTTACTTCTTATTCTTATTTTTCTTCTTCTTCTTCTTATCTGAGATGATAATTATCTCAAAATCTCTTCTCACTATATTCTCAGAGAAGAGTTTCTACTGCTTCTTCTTAGTCAGATCAATCTGTACTTCAAAATCCTGCATTTTCTGATCTGCTGTCTCAGGTTTCATCTCAGTGATGAGCAGATTAATATACTCAGAGAGCAGAGCTGTCTTCTCAATATTCTGAATTATAAAGTGCATTTGAGACCTGAATAAGACCTCAATCTCTTTCTTCTCTATCAGCTTCTGCTAATCAATTAGAGAACAGAAGTATTATTAAAAATTATTATCTCTTACTAAAAAACTTACTAGTTTTAACTTCTTTATCTTATACTTTAATACTCTCTTAATTTTCTTCTGCTGCTGCTTATTTATAGTAATACTTTTCTTCTCTCTCTCTCTCTTCATCTTAGTTTTAAATCATTCTCAGAACTTCTTCTGATCTTATTACTACTGTATAAGACTCTTCACTATCTTCTTTTTCAATCTCTCATAGATAACATTATTGACATTATTTCTATACTTAG